CCTGAACAGGCGTCGGTTTTGTATATCCCGATTTCTTGATATTTTCTTGAATCCAAACGTGCAGTGACAACTCGTCGAACTAAAATTTTTAGAAAAACAATCAGACATTACCGAACAACAAATACGCAAATAACTGAGTAGACGTTGCCATCATCAAACTAACCCTTTCATAATCTTGTCAACAGATATAATTCATGCATTCTTAAAACCATACGAGGAAAGAGGCAAACAAATGGCTCAAAGTATTCGAAATAATCTAGACATAAAAACTGAACAGAACTTACAGATGCACACGGCCGAGGTACATCACTACCAGATGCCTCCACTGGAATCTCCTCATATTTATCGAAATTTATGCCACTGTTTACACACGAAAACAATTCTCTGAAATGAACTCATGTGCAAAAAATGTTTCATTCACTTGGAAACAATCCTAAGATTTCAGCTGAACCACACTGAGAATTTCTCAATTCAACAAACCACATAAAGAAAGAAGATAGTAAGGAAAATATATTCTTAATCAAACCTTTCTTTGTGCTCATCACGAGGACCTTGTTGAGACCACGATTTTGTGGCTGCACCTCCCATATCATCATTCCAACGCTGTGTACTGAAAAAAACATTCATCACTATCACTATAAAATATTTCAAATATCTCATAACTTCAATCATCTACTCCCACGGGTGGTTGAATAGGCTCTCAGTATAGGATATCTGAACATACACCATGAAAATCGTACGTTCAACAATCCAACTCACCGCCAACAACTTTCATTCGACAATTTTGAGAAAAAAAATCACTCATATAGATAAATCATACGTTTGTTGTTGCTGAGGAATGTAGAAATTGGACTGTTGACGAAATCCATTCGGTATGAAATTGGCATTTGCACCAGGCGGGTTCATGGGGAGGTTACCAACACGTTGGTTCCATTGATCCCTGCAAGTGTAACAAAGCATTTCACACGTATGAATCACGAATGAATAGCGTCTGAATGAAATTACATTCCCAAAAATTTTAACAACTTTCGGAAATCAAATCGAAGAGAATGAATGAATCAAGATGAACAATTGATCATTTAGAAAAAAAGAGGAAATAAAAATTTGTCCACCGAAAAATAACAAATACAAAGTTACGTTTAACAAATACGAAAAATTTTATACAAGGAACATAGTTATATTTGAGTCAAAAAAATTTTCAAAAAATAAAATTAAAGATTCAGCGATAAGAGCAATGAACATGGAAATTAAAGTAGAAAAAGAAACGAAAAAACCTAAAGCAGGAAAAGGAAACAACAAAAAATCAAACCACTAACATATTGCCCACATTGGGACTTGAGTAGAAACGATGCCCATCCATTATAATGTTGGGCTGAAGTTCAGAAAAAGATTCACCTTGAAATACCCAAACGAAACGGTTACTCTTCAATACACCACACGTAACCGTTAGCTACAAAACTATGACTGTATGATGTAACATTTAGCAGTGGAGTTTCGCAACGTCCAAACAAATATGAATGCACCGGTGAGTCACGCTGTTAAGAAATAGGCACTGATGTGATATCATTGTGAGTGGGCAGCAATAACAACAAACAATTAACAAAATAAGCCAAGCACATCTATCACAATAAGATTAAAGCAAAGTTTATTCGGCTAAAAATGGTCATA